AGATGGAGCATTAAAGTGATACTCCTGAGCGGGAAAGGTGGTGTTTTCTGGGCTTGGAGCAGAAGGAAATGTGTTTCAGGTGTGCTAGAGGGACAGACCTTTGAGCTTCAATCCAGACTGAATGAAATATGATGAAATTATTGATACTTATTGAAAAGTAATAGTACTTTCATAGTCAATACTAAAATAGAAGAAAAAAAAACAGTGATACCAATCTTTCTACAGGATTGTTGGTATGGACTACTGTCACTACAAACTGAAAAATAATGTGTGCATATTGTAAAAATTATGGATTTTTCACAAAATTAGGCTTTTTAACGTATGACTGCCCACCGTTTTAATAGCCTTGATTCTGTATTTTTCCAATGAACTTTCTCCAGATTTTCAAAAAATTGGTCAAATGACCTAAAAACATTACAAACTTTTATCACACGCCAAAAATATTTGCAAATAAATTCTGTCATGACGGAATTATAACAATGCATTGTAAAAAATTATGGAAATTTATGGACAAATCACAAAAATTTGGCTTTTGAATGCACATTTGTTTTAGTAGCCTTGATTGCATATTTTTCAAATTAATTTTCTTCAGAATTTTAGAAAATTTGTCGAATGACTCTACAAATTTTTATTAGACTAAAAATATTTGCAAATGATAAAAAAGAAATGCACAAGATGCACTTAAAAACGGTTATGAGAAAATTATAACCATAAAGCATGGCAAAAATTATGGAAATTAAAGACAAATCACAAAATTAGGCTTTTTAATGCATGACTGCTCACTTTTTCAGTAGCCTCGATTATTTAGTTTACCAAATAATTTTGTCCAGAATTTCAGAAAATCGAATAAATCTTTTATTAGATGCTAAAAATATTTGCAAATCATAAAAAGGCAAAGGTACAAGATTGCACACTTGAATCCTGACATGAGGAAATGATAATCCTGATGCATTGTGAATTACCTAATCTAATAAAACAGTATAATGTAAAATGATTGACTTAAAGTCACTGATTATAAGTATATATTTAAATGTTAAATTATTTTAAATATTACATTTATTACAAAATATGAAAGTCTAAATGTTTAAATTAAATATTAAATATTACCAAATGTATTTATGTAGGGCTTCAATTTGGCTAATAAACAAAAAATAAGTAAATTATTTAAAAAATAAACAAATAAACAAACAGTTGAAAGGTTTATCTTTTACCATTAAAAATCAATTTCTCTATGGAGAAAATGAATGAGAACACGACTGCTGCACTCTGGTATCGACTACAGGACTTTTAGGTACATATTATAGATATCAACAGCAGTGGCTAATAAAACATGTTTGTTGAGCCCAATCAGTCTTGGAGTAAACATCTTAAACCTTTAATCAAACATGGCTGCTTTAGATTTAAATATCTGCAGGCTTCTCAGATTCCACCTTTGAGATCACTGAGATCAATTTGTGCACTTCCAGGTCTCTCACCGCGCGAGATTGTTAATTTTATAAGCGCTACTTTCCTCTCAGCCCTTCCAGCTATTAATAATTCGGATCGATCAAATCGAGCCTCTCTCTGTCCTGGATGGCAAGGCCGGCCGGTGATTGAAGGAGTGCTGGGATGTTGGCGGTCCTGCGTTTTCTAAAGCTTAGCATGAGTCTGCAGAGGATGCATTACTCACCGCGAGCGCATCTCATCTGTGCAACCTCTCCTACATCATTAGCTCTGAACAATAAACCTGTTCGCAGAGTAACAACCTCAGAGACGCTGGGAGTAATCCAGTAATATTTATATCCCCATTTTAAACGAGCTCACCTGATCGCACATGCTTCCAATACAAATTTATCACGGCCGTACGCAAAAGGGGAAAGAAATTGATTTCATTTTTTTCCATGAGAGCTTCACAGGACATAAATATCACCCTATGGACTTCCTCGTGCTACTAGGCAAATTAATCAACACATCGAGTTTGCACAAATAGAACCGATGGCAATTTAAAGACTGCATGATTTGAGGTATCATTTATGTAATTCGGTTTGGGAGTCTATTACACTTTCTTTAGTAAAGGTACAATTGAAAGTTTTGAATAATTAAAGGTAAAATATGGGCTTAATCAAAATGATTTTTATAGATACCTTCAAGTAAGACATTATATTGATTGTAATATCAAACCAGTATTAGAAATTGCAGAGAAAGGAATATTAAAAGTGTTCTTAGCAGTAACTAAGTCTGAATCATGTAGTAGGATTATTTCAAAATTATATAAAGGATTTCTCCATGCAGTGCCCTATAATGTTAAACTATGTGTTAAAGACAAATGGAGGAGGGAGGGAAATCTGAATATCTCGGATGATGATTGGGGAAAAATCTGTAAGATACAATGGAAATCTACAAGCTCAGCCATATGGAGAGAATTTTGTTGGAAGAATGTTATTAGGTTTTTTATTAAGTCAACACAGATATGATGCAAAGGGAAGGGTGCTAGCTGTTGGAGATTATGTGGGGATTGGGAAGCTAACCATTATCATATTTTTTGGGAGTGTCAGAAATGAACTCACTTTTGGCGCTTAAAAGAAATTTGGAAGCCGTTTTTGAGGTAACGATTCCTTTTAATTGCGAATCAAAGATAAGAAACTGATGTTAATTTTACTGTCTTTCTACTGTATTGTTAGTACGGAGGACTCCTAGCCTCATTATGAATGTTATGAAAGATAAAATGGGCTAAATAATCCGTGCATCATGTTGGAGAATTTTGCACTCACATGTTCTTAAAAAATGTACAAATCCAGTACAAAACACCTGCTTTCACTCCTCGAGTGCACTCTACTGTAATCCTGATATTAACAGTCCTGTGGCAACATTTTTCTTTTGGGAGTTCATCTATTTATTAATCTGAGAGCACCGAGCGTTTCGGATCAGATTGATGGAGCCGCTGTCGGAGGGAGGGAATGTGAGATTGCTGCAATAAAAGTCAGAGTGAGAGATTAGACGGGCTTTGAAACACTTGGTTTCAATGGCTTCAATTTATCCAGCGTACGTCTCGCACACCGATGCTTTAGTGCCGCTGCAGACCCTGCTGCATGAGGAAGGGACACGTTCTAGATCACTGAGTCATCAAGCCACTAAACTGGAAATAGAACGATAAATATTCATTCATCCTGTTGTTTTTAATAACTAGACAAATGCGATGCGCAAAAGCAATCATGACTGTATATTTCAAGCTAATAACAGTATGTATTGGCCTTAATTTATTTTCTTGGGGAGGCTTTGAATTTTAATTTCTGCCAGCTTTATGTTTAATTAAAGTAATAGTTCACCTAGAAATGAAAAAAAAAGTCATTATTTATTCAGCAAAAACAACTTAAATTTGTACAGTGTCACTCAATATTTCCTGCTGAAAAGGCGGTCTTAAACCAGTCTAAGTCTTTCCTGATAATCTTAGCTGGTTTAAGATGGTCTCTCAGCTTGAGCAGCTGGTCTTCAGCTGGTTATGCTGGTCCAAATGTAGCTGAAAACCAGTCTGACCAGGCTAGAAGACCAGCAAACCAGATCACCCCTGATCGTGATGAGATTGTTTAAATCTGAAATTTGCAGCAAATGATCAGTTAAATTTCAATTTGTTCCTCCAGTAAGGCTTTCATATGACTTGTTATACAGAGCACAAGTTATACTAACTACTTATATAGTCTGTATTGGAGCTCAACAATATAAATCAGTATAAAATCACTAGTCTAAAATCTGATGATCTTAGCTGGTTTAAACTGGTCTCTCAGCTTTTGGGCATCTGGTTTAGTTGATCTAAATGTGGCTGAAAAGTGGACAAACCCAGCTTACAGACCAGTCCAAGTGGACCAGAAGACCTGCAAACCAGATCATTACTGATCATAATGGGATGCATGAAATTTTAATGTTTAAAATTGAAATTTGCAGCAAATAATTATTAAAACTTTGATTTGTTACTCCAGTAAGGCTTTCTTTTGACTTGTTATTCACCACACAAGTTGTACTAAGTAATAGGACTATGATAGAAGACCAGCAAACCATATCATCACTGATCATTATGGGATGCATATTGTTACTTCCTGTTAAAAATGCCATCTTAAACGAGTTTGAACTGGTTTTCCAATGATCTTAGCTGGTATAAGCTGGTCTTTCAGCTTGGGAAACTGGTTTAGTTGGTCCAACAGTAGCTAAAAAACAGCCCAATTAGAACAGACCGATTAGAAGACCAGCAAACCAGATCATCGCTGATCGTGATGGGACACATCATATTTGAATGTTTAAAATTGGAATTTGCAACAAATGACAAGTTCACATTTTGATTTGTTCCGCCAATAACTTTCATTTGACTTGTTATACAGCAAACAAGTTGTACTAACTACTTTATAGTCCTTGTTTGAAGCTCAATGATATGAATTACTATCCAATCACCAGTCTTAGTTGGTTTGCTGATGATCTTAGCTGTTTAAACTGGTCTCTCAGCTTGGGCAGCTGATTTAGTTGGTCCAAAAGTAGCTGAAGACAAGCTAACAGACCAGTCTGACCAGGCTAGAAGACCAGCAAACCAAATCATCATTGATCGTGATGATATTTGAACATTTAAAATTTAAATTTGCAGCGAATAATCAGTTAAATACTGATTTGTTCCTCCAACAAGGCTTTCATTTGCACACAAGTTGTACTAACTACTAGCTACTGAAGTGTTGACCTTAACAGGTTTAAGTTGGTCTCTCAGCTTGGGTAGCTGGTTTAGTTGGTCCAAAAGTGGCTGAAAAGTGCCCAAAACCAGCTAACAGACCGACTTCTTTGGCAAAGAGCAGCTCGAACCAATGTTGATATTGTTATTTCCTCTTAGCTTGGGCAGCTGGGTTAGCTGGTCCGAAAGTAGCTGAAAACCAGCTAACAGACCAGTCTGACCAGGCCAGAAGCCCAGTACACCAGCTTGGGCAGGTTTAAGATGTTTTTTTTTTTCCAGCTGGCGGTCTTTATGAAGAATGTAACCAAACCCTCACCCAGGTTCGATGAAGCCCTGCCCTCGGCGGCGCGGTCCTTCAGGCCTTCTGCGATGTTGAGCTGTTGTTCGTGGTACTGCTTCGCCCTCTCCAGGTCCTGCATGCAACGGGCAGCATGTCCCAGCCCCGCATACGCCCTCATTTCGATGCTCTTCTCCTCAAGCTCCTGTGCAAGCTCCAGCACGTGCGTGTGGTATGACATGGCCTTGTCGAAGTTGCGGCGGTAGTGGTAAGCGCTTCCCAGGTTGCTGTAGGCACGCGCCTCCTCGCGCTTGTTGCCGAGGCTCTTGGCGATGCTCAGGTGCTGTTCGTGGCACTGTACGGCATTGTCGAAGTCGCCCATGGCGATGTAGACGGCTCCCATGTTGCCCAGCTCCCGAGCCTCAGAGAGCTGATCCTTGGACTGTTTGGCCAACAGGACGCACTGCTTGTGGCTGGCCAGGGCGTTGGGATAGTCGCCGATGGCCGTGTACACGTGACCCAAGCTGCTGAGGGCTGAAGACGCCGCCTATGGAGAGGAATGAGAGAAGATGTATAAACCATTTAATATAAATGTTATAAAAGAGAAAATGGCAATGCTAAAATCTGATTGTTTGCTGTTGTGCACAAAAAAATGGTTCCTCAAAACACGGCCAGGTTTGAAGAAAATTATTTCAAAATTGACTGATGGTGACGGGATACATCATGTTTAAATGTGTAAATTTGAAATTTGCTGCATAGAATTGCTTACATTTTGATTTGTTCCTCCCATAAGACTTTCATTTGACAAGATGAAAATACTTTTTGAGGCTCAGCTGTGTCCATTCCCTTTCAGTTGGTCATTTCAATGTTGTGTCGAAGTTCCGACACTAGGGGTCACACTTGGGAGCCCAGACACCTCTGACATAATTGAGAAAAGGCCAATGAAATTGGTGAGCAAAATTTGCATAGCTGGCCACACCCCGGATATTCGGGTATAAATAGGCCAGCGTGGCATTTGCTCACTCGTTCTATTCTTCTGACCCAATGCAGCATCTCTCTGGGAGATGCAGCACTACATTCACCTCTATATATCCTCGTCGCTGGATCTATGGCACAAGCAGCGGTTTCTCCCTTACCCATACACAGATAAGTGTAGTGAGAGTACCCCAGGTGCTTCAACAGTGATAATTGAGAGCAAATTTCCACTTAAAAGAGCAATTTCTTTAAAAGAGCTTCATGGATGGATTTGTTTGTGTTTACAACATGCTTTTCCATCCATGTCCTTCTGGTTGCAGTTTGTACATCTCACTCTCTGACAGGCACAATCGCTGTGCTCACTGTTTGGGCCGCACCCATGCTGAAGCAGCTTTTGTGGATGGTTTATGTCCTTCTTGTTAGGACATGGTTATCGGCACATTGTGCTCGCGGCTCGCATTCTTTTTAAAAAGGCCGCGAGTCATCTCAGCTGCTTCCCGTCTTGGCCCTTCTACTTCTGGGTACGAAGCCATGATGATGTGCACTGAAGGAGAGCAAGGAGATGTTACGGGAGCAGTTCCGCTGGATGCATTCCCACGGACCTCGCGTTCCTCCAACCGCACATGTTCTCCAGTAGAGTTTAAGAGCCCCCCTCAGAGTGGGTTCGATCACTCATCCTGGCCCTTCTCATGATGAGGATGAATAGTCTATCGCACCATCGGAGGGCTTATACTGCTTCTGGACAAGGTGCGTCCGCTCTGCATACCATGGCTGTCCTGCAGGTGTTCAGGCCAGGGTCTGCACAAGGATGGTCCCAACCCAGAGCATGCAGGAACTGCGTTCAGCGACTGACTATGCCCTCCAGGCTATAAAGGTCACGGCGCAGGCTCTGGGGAGGGCGATGTCGACATTAGTGGTCCAGGAGCACCACCTGTGGCTCAACCTGGCAGAGATGTAGGATGCTGAGAAAGTGTGCTTCCTTAATGCCCCCATTTCTCAGGTTGGTCTCTTGGCGACACCGTTGAAGAATTTGCGCAGCAATTCTCCACAGTTAAGAAACGGAGGCCTGCCTCGGCGTGGGTCAGGTTCTACTGAAACAGCCTCCGTCTGTTCATCGCCGGGGACCGCAACAGCCTGGGCCGGCAGTCAAGCCTGAACAGCAGCCAGTCACTTGCAGGAAGGTGGCTCCCGCATTTGTCAGTGACTTCTTTGACAGACCTGGTGGACAGGACACTGTTTGCCCCGAAGGACTTATGTCCTCTGCCACTGTAATTTCCGCAGAAACCCTTCCCCGGGTACATTGAATGTAGTTCCACTGAGACTGTTGGCAAGGTGTCTGGATGCTTGGTTAAGCTCCCCAGCACTTCCCGATGGCTCCTCAGAACCATTCGGCTCAGCTATGCGATTCAGTTTGCCAGGCATCCGCCAAAGTTCAGTGGCATTCTGTTACCTCAGTGCGAGGTGAGAGTGCTGCTGTTCTTCAAGCGGAAGTTGCGTCCCTTCTGGTGAAGGGCGCGATAAAGTCTGTCCCCCCAGGCGAGATGAAGAAGGGGTTTTACAGCCCCTACTTCATTGTACCCAAGAAGGGTGGGGGGCTCAGACCAATATTAGACCTAAGGGAGTTGAGCCGGGCCCTTTAAAAGCTCCTGTTCAGAAAGCTAACCCTCAAACACATGTTAATATGTGTCGGGTACCAAGATTGGTTGGTGGCAATAGACCTGAAGGACACAAACTTTTATGTCTCGATCCTTCCAAGACTCAGGCCGTTTCTTTGGTCTGCCTTTGAAGGACAGGCATATTAGTACAAAGTTCTTCCCTTCAGGATATCCCTGTCTCCTCGCGTCTTCACGAAAGTCGTGGAGACTGCCCTTGGCCCTCTTAAGGAAGTGGGCATTCGCATTCTCATTCTCGACGACTGGCTTATTCTAGCTCACTCGTGAGAGTTGGTTTGCACATACAGGGACATGGGCTTCGACTACCTACCCTGATTGGGACTTCGTGTCAACTGAGAGAACAGCAACTCTCTCTTTTTTCGGTGTGGATTGGACTTGGTCACTATGACAGCACACCTTTTAGAGGACTGTGCTTGGTCTGTGCTGAACTTCTTAAGAACGCTCAAGTACAAGATAGTGGTCCCTTTCAAATACTTTCAGAGGCTCCTGGGGCATATGGCATCCTCAGCCGCACTTACACCATTGGGACTGATGCATATGACACAGCGTCAGCACAGGTTTTATACCCGAGTCCGGAGATGGGCATGGCGCCGAGACTCACACCTCGCCCACCATCTCTTACTGTGGAGCAAGCAGAGCCTCGGGTCTCTGCGTACCACTCAAATTCCAGGTGACCTCAATCATGTAGTGGTCTCCCTCTCACAGCAGGTCACTTTCCGGGGTGAGTGGAGGCTTCACACCCAGCTGGTCCAGCTGTTTTGGAGTCGATTAGGTCAGGCGCAAATAGATCTGTTGGCCTGACGAGAATCCACTCATTGCCCCTTGTGGGTTCCCTGACTGAGGCTTCATCGGCACGGACACACTGGCACACAGCTGACCCAGGCCTATGCGAATATGCGTTTTCCCCAGTGAGCCTCTTTGCATGAACACTGTGCAAAGTCAGGGAGGACATGGAACAACTCTTGTTTGTGCCACATTACTGGCCCAACAAGACTTGGTTCTTGGAGCTCGTGCTGTTGGCATCAGCTCCTCCCTGGCGGATTCCACTGAGGAGGGACCTTCTGTCCCAGGAGAAGGGCACAATCTGGCACCCGTGCCCAGATTTCTGGAACCTCCGTGTTTGGTCCCTGGATGCGACCAGGAGGAACTCAGAGGTATTTCACCCACAGGCTTGAACCCCCTCTACGAGGTGGCTATACGACCTGAAATGGCACATTTTCGTGAATTGATGTTCTTCCTATGGGAAGGATCCTCTGAGATGTGGCATCGGATCTGTGCTACCCTTCCTCCAAGAGGCCCTGGACAGGTGCCCAACTGCATCTACATTCAAGGTGTACGTGGCCACGACACTGTAGATTGCACATCGGTGGGGATGCCTCATTCCCTCTTGGAATCTTTCAGTTCTTCAGGCCTTACAGAGAGATCCGTTTGAGCCCCATCAGTCAGTTGGATTTAGTGCTCTCTCTATGAAGATGGAATTCCTGACTGGGCTTGCTTTTATCAAGAGGGTGGGGGATCTCTAAGCCCTCTCCATTTACGAATCATGCCTAGAATTCGGGCCAGCAGACTCTCACGTTGTCCGTACGTAACCGATATGTTTTCATTATATGGGAAAATAACAGCTTTAACACTCAGGTAAACCTACAGTTAAAACTATTAACAATAATTTTTGGACATTGAAAATAAAGCTGAAATAAAATAAAAAATACATATCAGATGGAAAAATTTTATCAAATTTAAATGAAAATCAGAAATGTTGCTTGGCAAAAAACTGAAAGTAATTTGCAGTACAAAAAAATTACTAAAACTAACACTAAATAAAAATAAAAGTTATATATAAATGTATTTAATAAGCTAAAACTAATAAAACAAGATAAAAGCACATAACAAAATTACTGAAACTTAAATTAAAAACCTGAAAATATTATATTCAATGAATAATTAAATTTCAAATCAGTTTCATAATTCTTTTAACTCTGGTATAATTACTGATACACATGACCTCTTGTGGCTTACTGCTTTATTTTCTATTAAACAGTGATTAGATAAGCAAACACAGCTCTTATTCTCAAAACATATGGCAAAGTTGTGTGATATTACTGCATATCCCATTACACAGCCATTGAGAATAGCATGTGGTGCAGAAAGCACTCTGCCATGTAATGTGTTGTCTGCCGAGAATAAAACCTGTGAAGCCTCTCAAGTCAAAATCTCAACAGAGACGCTGATCTCTCGCAAAATCCGTTAAAAATATGCTGAGGCCATGTTGAAATCTCCTTGCGGCAGGCACATGTTGAGCTGGGACTCGAGAGACAAAGACTGTCTCCCAGATTTACATGCTCCATGGGAAGCCCACTAGCAACAACCAACTTTCTTCAGAGGAGTCAAAGTCATCTAAAAGTAGCGCAGTCCTTTTTGTCGGTTATCTTGCTGACAGACACAAGTCATGCAAGTATAAAAGCCCGTTCACACCAAGGACGATGATGTTAGTCTAGTCTAGTGCAAGTTATGCAAAAACTCCCGTTATAATCACTTAAGCTGCTAAATGAATTCTGCATTCTTCTTGTTTCTGCATTTTGTTGTTTATGATGAGAGAATTTGTGAGCACGCACACAACAAAACTCTGGCGATTTCAGCACTGGCTAATCTAAATGCCTCAGATTGGCCATTGCATTCATAAGCTCAACAGAAATGTGTGCAACCTACTGTAAGTGCAGAACTAAATGTAATTCAACAAATTTATCATTTTCATTCATTTTCACATTTCATTTTAATCGCAACAGCCGTATTAGATTTAATTTAAATGTACAGGGCCATTTTTGCCCTATATCTTGAATTTGTGAGGCTTTTTTGTTCATTTTGGTGGCATTTTTGCCACAAGCCCCCTGTTAAAAGATTAGTTCACCCAAAAATGAAAATTAGCCAGTGTTTTACTCACCCTCAAGCCATCCTAGGAGTATATGACTTTCTTCTTTCAGACGATTCCAATTAGAGTTATATTAAAAAGTGTCCTGGCACTTCTAAGCTCTATCATTGTAGTGGGCAGGTGTTTCTGTTCAACAGTCAAAAAAAAAATTTAAATAAAGCACGCGCATCCCTAATAAAACGTGCTTCACATGGCTCTGGGGGGTGAATGAAGGCCTCCTGTAGCGAATCCATGTGTTTTTGTAAGAAAAATATCCATATTTCAAATGTAATAAACACTTTTCTCTCACTTCTGCTGACTGTTGTATGTGGAAGCATTCCGGCGGATGACGTAGGATGTATGCGACGCGCAAGTTTCCTTACTTTAGCAAAGGAAAACCAGTCTCCTCTTGGCTTATATCGAAATACCGACATTTTTCTTTACAAATCCTCGTTTTGTGCTTCTAATTCATGACTGGCGTTTTGTTTTGTTCTCCTACCGCATTTGTCATTAATCACACAATGCCGACGTCCTACGTCATCCGCCAGAGCTGATTCCGCATATGACAGATAGCGGAAGTGATAGAAAAGTGTTTATTACATTTGAAATATGGATATTTTTCTGACAAAAACGCATGGATTTGCTACAGGAGGCCTTCATTCACTCCCCAAAGCCGTGTGAGGCACGTTTTATTATGGATGCGTGCGCTTTATTTAACGTGTTTTGAACTGTTGAACAGAAACACCCGCCCACTACAATGATAGAGCTTAGAAGTGCCATGACAATTTTTAATATAACTCCGATTGGATTCGTTTGAAAGAAGAAAGTCATATACACCTAGGATGGCTTGAGGGTTAGTAAAACACAGGCTGATTCTCATTTTTGGGTGAACAAACCCTTTAATTTCCGACGCTGATGTGCAATGACGAATTGATCTAAGGAAGACCAGGAACATGTACCAGGAACTCTAAACTAACCTTGTTGAAACTACAGAGATGAGAGGGAGTGCTTATCTGTCACACCTGCTGTATGTCAGTGAGGAAGCCTTGCAGAACGCTTTAACCTGCTGAGACTAAGTCATAATCGCACACACACACACACACAGACACGCACACACACACAAAAACCACACTTTCTCAATCTGCTCAGACACTAGTTCTCTTCCAAAACCCAGTGAGCTGCTCACCTAGACTGCATTTAAAACCACTTTTACCACACAGAAGCTGTTCCAAAAGTTGTCTTTTGGCAGAATTCAGAAAATGCATTCTTTGCAGAGAAAGCACTCTAAGAATGCAACGCAATAAAATTGGCTGTTTGGAATTGCATCATAACATGCTACTATTACTATTACTTCTGTAGCATAGTATGTAAACTGCAGATTATGCAAAAATGTATGCATGCAAAATTTATGAAATTTTAAATTAATTTTCTATTTGAGTATATTTTAAAATGTAATTTATTGCTGTGATCAAAGCTGAATTTTCAGCATCATTACTCCAGTCTTCAGTGTCACATGATCCTTCAGAAATCATTCTAACATGCTAATTTGCTACTCAAACATTTCTTATTATCAATGCTGAAAACTGTTGTGCTGCTTCATAGTTTTGTGTTTTTTTTTTTCAAGATTCTTTGATGAATATAAAGCTCAAAATAATTTATTTGAAATAGAAATCTTTTGAAACATAAATGCCTTTATTGTGGCTTCTGATCAATTTAATCCATCATTGCTGAATTAAAGTATGAAAAAAAATTCTGGTAGTTAATATACAGAAACCTCTCGTTGAAACCAATTGATTGAATTGATGAAAGTGAAGACAATGTTACACAAAATTAAATTGAAAATGAAAAATAAACTTTTTTTAATTTGAGACAAAGATTTAGCATACTACAGTTTTTAAATATATTATGTAAAGGATAATATACATCCAGCTGGTTGTTATCGCAGAATAACCCCTGACAGGGGGATCAGGAGCTGCGTTTGTATGAAGCGAGAGAGCGAGTCCGCGATACCAGGATGATATTAAATAATTGTACACAATTTTGAATCGAGTTTTAATATTTTATTAGCTAAACAAATGCAAAGCTTCCACCAAGAAAAAACTGTTCCTGGCAAGAGTATAGCGCCGACTTCAGTTACCCGGATGAGCCTGTGTTATCAGCTCTTACCGGTTGTTATCGAGGGATAACATACATCGGAATGTCACGACTGACCAATCAGAATCAAGTATTCCACAGAGCCGTGTAATAATACAATACTAATATACAGTAATAATAAGTAATAATATACAGTATACTACACAATATCCAGTAGTAAGTTAGTTTAATTTCTGAATATTTTTTGCATTTAAGAAATATTTATGATCAATAAATGTAAAATTGATTTTACATTTCGTTCCAATATCTAATAGTATAGCTAAAAAAACTGACTAATTAAAAATTGACCATTTTAGCCACTATTTGCATGTTCTGTGCAGTTTCAAGTTTATTAGATTACTGTTCCATTAGCCAAGCACCATAATAACATCAAACTCTGTCCATTTCAGTTAGCATGCAGCCTATATAGACAGCAGACAACAGTGCAGCTCACTAGATTCTGGAACAGAACTTGTATTACACAATCGCTTGACAAACAACAAAAGACAGCAGGTCCAACTTCGGCCTTGACGCTACATCAATCAAACTATAAACAACGACACACAACACAACCACATGTTCGGGGCAGATATCAGCTCTATTTAGGGAGTAACGGCGATGACCGCTGTCTCGATGAAGTGCTGGGACGGATGCCCTGATAGAACAGAAGGTAAAACGCTTGATTTCAGGGCACACGGACAAAAGACGAACCTGGAGGGGCTCGTCCAGCCCAAGGCCTTCAGTTTCTCAGTGCCGCCTGGAACCAATTACCTCCAGCCACAAAAACTTCCAGCAGTTTGCCTGAGTTTAAAGGCTCCGGGACGTGTTACACGGTGAGGCAATTACCCTCCATCAGAAGAGAGGGCTTCTTATGATCACAGATACGCTATCGGGCCCGGCGTGGGCACGTGTGTCCTGTTCAAAGCCACACAGCTTCATCTCGGGTCAGTTCTGGATCTAAAGATGACGGGATTGTGGAGGAAGCTCCTTTTTCAGGAATCAGTTAAACATAGTGAATCATTACACTCTTAAGAAATTAAAGTTGAAGTTTTGTGTCTTATAGTCAATGTCAACAACTCTGAGGTCATC